AGAGGAGAGCATTCACTATTGCAGCTATCCTACAGTGGAAGGGCAGGTACATATGATTTCCTATATTACCTTTTCTTCCGTTCTTCAAATATGAGGTGCCGGATTTTGCCTTCTTCTCTGCCTCAAGTTTGTTTCATGCATGTTTAAAATCATTTCAGAGATGGGAGCGTATTGAGCAGAGTGTTAATAGGATGATGACCCTTATTGACCTTGCACGAAACATTCGTGAGCGTCACAACAAACCTCTTAAAACTCCACTCAGGTTTAGCCTCTGCACTTTTCTCTTACCCAACCCCTGCAGAACAAAAGGCAAAAGTTCATGTTGGTTTGTTGGTCTTCTTTCAGGGAAATGGTGGTTGTACATCCAGATTCAGAATTCCTTGATGATATTGCGGGCAAATTAAGAGAGGTCTGTTATAGTGTTGTCTTTTTGCAGACATTCCATTCTGATTCCTTTGAAGTGTTAATTAACCTATTATTCTATTATTTATTCTTTTCTGTCTCTATAGTCCTTATAAAAAAAATATTATCTTATAATCCTTTATTTACATTATTTCATTACTCTAATTTAGTTAAGTAATATATCAATGTGATAAAGTCGGAGCACAATACTTGTGATTCTTTTGGTTGCAGTATGTGCTCGAGGAGCTAAACATTAAATCTTTGGTCCCATGCAATGACACGTTGAAGTATGCTTCTTTGCGCGCAGAACCAGATTTCAGGTGATCTAGATGTCATTTGCCAAGTTTGTCTTCATTTGTTGTTCTCTTAATTAACATCGTTAGCTGGTCCCCTTGTCACAGTGTGTTGGGAAGAAGGTTGGGGAAGTCGATGGGCGTTGTTGCCAAAGAAGTTAAGGCCATGTCAACCGCAGATATAATTGCTTTTGAGAAAGCAGGAGAACTTACTATTGCTTCACACGCTTTGAAGCTTACTGATATCAAGGTGATGTTTACTTGCATCTTTAAATTCCTCATATTTGTCGGTCGGAACAGAAATAGTTGAACAGTTCTGTTATTGGTTCTCTTCTGTTGGCTTTATTGAACCCTGGGTACAAAGGGTATAATAGGTCAGTTGCCTGTCAGGTATGGAGATGAGAAAAAGGTGGCAGCTGAATAGCAAGGTTCCTGCAAATTTATGCTGGCCCTATTTAGTAATTGCAAGTTGTGGCCCAGAAGTGCTGCCAGTTTGTGAATATCTATCTTTTGTTTTGGCTTGAAGAGGGCTACATAAGTTGCTGGAAAAGAGAATTGATAGGAAAGGGTGGGAGGAGAAAAGGAATTGCATGTGTAGAGAATCCTTTTGTTATTGTGTTCAGTCAGACCTCTTTAAGTAGGAATCTGTTTCTTGTCTTCAGAATTAATTTGGATTGTACTTTGCCAGAAAAATAGAATTTGGCTGCTACAACAGACAAATTCAATATTTATTTTGAAGCGGAGTTTAAGTTCTGAAAAAAGTAGATTTTTTTTAGCTTAGCTTAATATTCAAAATTCTCGGGAATCATTTTGTTGCTTATTTTGCACCTCTTGCACTGCATTAAAATGCTTGAGCTATTATTATTGTTGTTATTATCATTATTATAGCTAACTCAAACTCTTAATGTACTTGCAGATTGTTAGGGGTTTCAAACGTCCTGATAACAGGAAAGAGGATGAAATGGATGCAGCAGGGGATGGTAAGCATCTCCTCCTTCACAAATTTAAATATTTACGTTTCATCTGATTTCTTATACTTTTGTTTCATTCTTTGCACATACAGGTGATGTTTTAGTGATACTGGATTTGCGTACTGATGATTCACTCTTTGAGGCTGGAGTTGCTCGAGAGGTATTCTCTAAAGTTATTCTCAATGCGATTAATTGCAGATATAGTCGAGCTTTTACTTGTATTTTGATTGGTTACTGTTGTGTTGGGAGATTCCTGATGAATGTCTTTGGTGCTGAACTCTGCTTGCAGGTTGTGAATAGGATCCAGAAGCTGAGAAAGAAAGCAGCGCTTGAACCCACTGACATGGTAGAGGTCTTCTTCAAGTCTTTGGATAATGATGAAAAAGTCTCTAAGCAGATTTTGGAGTCTCAGGTACATTTTGTCCACAGTATTAGTTGATGGTTTCTATTTTACTAGGCACCTGGCTTTGTGAAATTTTCCCTTTTACATAGAGAAGAAGATCTAGAGAATTGCCAGATCCTCCAAGTCTTTTGGCTGTGATACTTCCCCATGCATTTGGGGGTGGCAACTGGAAAGTACACCCTCCATGTCCTAAGATGAGCATTCCTTTTGTAATGCCCATGAAAGAAGTGGGTTGTTTGGGGACGGGGATCAACTAAAGCAATGGAAGAGCGGGGAGTAATGGGAAAGAGTAGTGGATAGGGAACTAAAGGAATATAAGAGAGAATAAATGGCTAGAGAAAAAGGAAGAAGAACAAGCTGCTGATAATTTCTTTTCTTTTTTTCCAAGTATGCTCTCCAGACATAGACTACGTCCAGGGTTGTACTCTTAGGGGTGGGGGGTTGCCGGAAGAGTTTGACATGGATTGAGCATAGAGGAGGGTGGTGGGAAAAGAACTTCTGAATGTAAAAGGTAGGAGAATTGGAAGTTCATTGAACGAGGGTCTGGTGTTTGATGCAGGATGAGAACAAAGATGATTTTTTTTTGGGGGGGGGGGGGGGATTGGGAGACATTAATGAAGAGACTAAAAACTTAATATCATATGCTCGAACTATACTAATGTTTTTGTGAGATTGAAATGGTTTTTCTCCAGAGAGCAAAGTTCAAGGGTGATGACAATAATTAATCCTGGAGCCCAAAGGGGCTTTAATCACTTACTGCCAAAAAAGATAATCATGTAACTCGATGTTCTTCAGGAAACAGCTTCTGTTGATTTTGAATCTGATTATCGAATCTTGGGTTTATCTTATATATTGAGCTTAGTCAGGCCATATTCCCACTTATCTTTTTCTTTTCACTTGAATTTCTTATCTACTTTTTAGTAGCTTAGTGCACCTTCACTCTTTAAAAGCTAGTGCATGCTTGCTTCTATTGCCAAAACCGAACTTGTTTGTGTGTCTTTGTTTGTCCACTCGTTCCATTTTAATAAATAATTTGGCGTTACAGGAATCATATATTAAAGACGCCATTGGATCTCCTTTGCTTCCAGCTGAACTGATCCCATCACATGCGGCAAGTTCTGAAGCCTTATCCTTGTTATGTTAGTAGGTCTTAGCGAGTTGTCTGAGTGTTAATATTCAGAGCTAGTTGCTCAATTGAATGTTCTCTCATGGTCAGAATGGAGTTTATTAAAAAATATTTCTATAGTTTCTTGTACACCGATTAACAAGTTCTGTAAGTTGCAGATAACTATTGATGAAGACAGTTTCCATGGAATCTCAAACTTGTCCTTTGTGATCACCTTAGCAAGACCAAGTCTAGTGTTCAATGCAGATGCCATCACTGCTTTATATGGAGGTCGAATTTGAGATTCCTGTTTCTGAAATTTCAGTTATGCCGAGGTGGTTTTCTGTTTCTAAACCATCTTCATCCTGCAGGAAACACACAGTATTCTCAAGGCTTACGAACTTACCTCCTGATGAGGGATCATCATAACCTCAAATCGGAGTTTCAACAAGGAAAGGGAAAGGTTTGTACTACAAAACCTTTATAATGCCGAGTTCTATGACCATCTATTCTAAAAGTGTAGATGGTCAACAAAATTCGACTTGGTTATCACATCACTCCCTCAATTACTTCATTATACTCCTCGCGTATGAGCCTGAATCCTCTCTGTTATTTGGATGGCCGTGAAAATTTAACTTGGAACTCTTGCCTGCACCAATACTCTGTTAAATTTTTGAAACTTTTAAGATGAGATGGTCGTACAATTCAACACATAAGTCTTCTAAAGTGTACTCGAATTGTACATAGCTAACGATATGATTCTTGACACCTTTATCGTGTGAACCTTGCAGATAACTGTCAAGTGCATTGAAAATCAGCCTCCAGTCGAGGTGATTCTGGGAAAACATGTCTTCTTGAGTGTCGGAGATCATTTCTTGAATACTAAATCGCAGTGATACTCTGCCGATATAATTTTTCGTCATAGAGAGATAGCTACGTACAATTTGCGCTAATTATTGTGTATTAGCCCCCATCCAACACATTTATATTGTAATTGTTATTTGGACTTTTTTTTCACCAGGGTTAATGTATACATGGAATAATTTTGATAAATCAAATGTTCTTTGGTTGACATGATCAAAGTTTTTCATTTACAGTCGATTGTTCAATCAGAAAATATTATATGTAGTTATATCATTTAATTATGGTTATCACAGAGATTATATTATCTTATATCAAATTGCGTAAAGAAAATACGGGCAGTGCAAATTGGTTATTGAAAAAATAAGTAATATGGTAAAGGTCTGAATTTGCACACGTATTATTTGAAATTGTTTAGTTTGTAATACGTTAAAGTCCATGAATTTTTGAGAATATGATCGATTGAAATTTGTTAGTTGAATCATCTAGACCTAGTGAATGATATTCATAGTTTTCAAGATTTACTTCTTTTTTAAAAAAACATTAAGAGGTAACATAATTGAAGATTCGTATATTAGTTTAGATTTTTAGAAATACGAATGACATGATTATTTGTGCCACAATTTTTTTGGATTTGTTTGAATTGACCTAATGAATGGTACACATAAAACTTTTGGTATGTATTAGTCCATGAATTATTGGAAAATAATTAGTCAATTTTTTTTTGACTAACCGCAATCAACTTGTGAGCGATACTCATAATCTCTACGGGATTAACAATACTTCTTAACATTTAAAAGTCATAAAATAGAAATTCAAGATTTTCTCAATTTTTTGTGTGGTAATATGATTATTGAAAATATGACTAATCAAAATTATTTTTTATCGATATTTGGAAACTCCCTTTTGAATAACTCATACATCTAAATAACAAAATTCATTTCTTTGAATAAGGCAACAATATATTATGCCAAAACAAAGACAATATATCAATATCATAATTCAAAATTAAGATATTCAATAGTAGTTCAAATAAAGTGGTAAATTATCCTACTTAATAAAGTTTAGACAACCCATAATTGCTATTTTTATCTAAAGGCCCAATAAGCAGATTGATAATCCAACAGCCAAAATGTATGAAAGCCCATTTAAGTTTGTTGAAGCAGAAGGTACTGTAGGCCCATCAGCTACAGCCATTAATCCAACATTATTTTGGGCCATAATTTGCTCTTTGGGCTGAATCTTCACAGGTATTTTCAGCCCATTTTTGCAACTCTCCGTGTTTCCGCTAACGAAGTAGCGGATTCCTTCTCCTTCAAGAGAGATCGTATCTAAACCATCCGTGTACATCTTGATCGGGTTCGATAGATCACACGATGTAAAATCTTCCTCGTTTCTCAGCTCCACTAAACTCTCCTGAGTTGTGGAGTAGGTGAACCCTACTCGTATAATATATGCAAAATTGTTAGTAACATTTTCTTGGGCTTGGGATAACGATGATGTTTAAGTCAATTTACTATCACTTCAGCTATTCCATCAGGTATTACTATATCTTGTGTAAGCGTAATTTATTTCTATCAAACAAGACTTAGACAAATGAACAAAAAAACATCTCGAATTTAAATCCTACCGACATTAAATTTAAAAGTTTCTAAAACGATCTCAAGAAAATAATCTATAATAATTGAAATTAGAGTCAAATATCTAAGTAGTCATGTAACATTAAAGACTATGCTACTTGTTTACCTAACCTATTAAGGCATAGATAAAGGAAAAGAGAAAATCTTTTGTCATACAAAATCTTAAAGGTTCATTAATATTTATCTCATTTAATGTCTTACTGCCAAAATAATATATTAATCAGAATCTAAATGAACTTTTGAAATAAAATCAAATCTCTCGATAGTTACGTTTCTTGTTCAAACTTTTATAGTTGTGGCAAAATAAATATCGATTTCATAATAAAAAGTTTATCTGTTACAGTAAAATGTTATTAGAGAAATTATTTGTTATAAAAAACCCTCTAAATCTATAAGTAATACAAAAGTCATTGAGAGTACTTAATTACCTCTTCTAAAACAAAATAATGGAGTCATAATTTTCATTTTAAAAAAATTAAATCAAGAAGTTAAAATTAAAAAAATAAAAAAGAATTCAATATTTATATATATATATATATATATATATATATAATATAATTTTTCGACGAATAATGTTCGAATTAATCATAGAAATGTGTGGTAATTTTTTTTTTAATAATAGATATGTTTACACATAACCAAAGCATGGGCCAATTTTCCTAATTTGTCTCTTTACTTTTTTGGGACTCACGAGTATTGTCCTTGTAATAATAACTATTATTATTCCAAGTACAAGAACGAAATTTATTTTATTTTTTTCACTTGATTTTAAATTTTTTATTTGTATTCTTTATTTTTTTTAAAATCAAAATATCAAAAATTTATATATATAAAACTTAGATCAAAGAATATTTAAATGCTTAAGTATTTTTATCTGACATAAACTAACATTTCCCGATATTTAAAATTTAATTTATTACTTAGATGATGATTTACAACTATATAATTATCTAATAATCTATTTAAATTACTTATATTACCTTATTTTCCAAGTTATTAATTTCGTTTTCTAGGTACATAAAAATATCATTATTGCTTAAGTTATATAAATATAAATTTTACAAATAGTAATTTTTTTATATAAATCGTGATATCAGAATTGATATTCATGAATCTTTCACTAATTTTACGAGATATTTATTACTTTCCACTAGTAATACAATAAGTATCAAATAACTCTATTTATTAAAACGTTCACACCCATAGATGCAAACCTATGAACTAATAATATTAGAGGCGGCCTTTTCGAATCTTATTAATACGAGATGTTTATACATCGAATCAAAAAAATTTTAATCAAAACTCATGAACTAACGCATACGAAAATATTGAATTAAAAAAAAAAAAATACAAAGAAATGAGAATGAAAGAAGCTCACAAATTTTATCACCAACTCTAAAAACTCTTTGAGAGTACCAAGAAGTAATATCAGTAGATGGGTCCCACCCTCTATCTTCTCCGACCACATGATGCACCGGAGCTCCGGCCACCACCACCGTCGCCACCGCCGTGAAAACAATGGCCACCACTAGAAAAATCCTAGCACCCATTTTGGCTAAAAAAAAAAAGAAAAAGAGATAATAGTATTAATACTAAGCTTAAAAGCAAAGGCACAAGCTTTAAGGAGCTTTTTTTTCCCACTCCCACAAGAAAGAGATATATGTAGTACTATTTTTAGTTGGAGGGGGGGGGAGTGGGGGGCTTTGGAATATAACATTTAACATGAGGATTTTTCCCTCCAAAAGGGGCGGGGTGGGGTAGGCGGTTAATTGAGGCGAGAGTCGGATATATAATTTAATAATTTTTAATGATATCAACTTATATTGATTCTCTCTTTGATTATGATTTAAAATTTTAAGAATTAGTTGCGTAATAAGTTCAAGTGAATTAATAATTATAATTGATTTTCTTTTTATTAAAGTGATTTAGTATTTCTAAAATTACTTTATTTAAAATTTAAATGAACTCACATGTTATATTGTACATCCACACTCTTTGGAGTTGAACTCATTTTTTAAATAAGGTGGGGAGTAAACAAAAAGTTGACAAAATTAAGAGTTTGTTTGGATTAGTTTAAAAAAATAATTAGTTTTTAAGTTGAATTGAAATGATTTTTAAAGTTAAGAAAATAAAAAGTAAGGGAAATTTTATTTTTGGTTTTTGACTTATTTTAGTCATTTTAAATTTATTATAAGTCATTTTTGACTTTGTACTTCTCGACTTATTTCAAAGTTATTTTTTATATTGTCAAATACTTCTAGAAATAAAAAACAAACTTATAAATAAATTTGACTAATTTTTAAATCAATCCAAACACCCTTTAACTTTAACTTATTATTTTAAAACTCAACTAATTATACTAAGAGAAAAAAGTATTAATTCTAAACTTTTAGTGTTTATCGAGTAATTTAAGAAGTAGATAAGATTTCTTCATTCTAAAAAAAATGTTTTTAAGTTAAGACTAGAAATGAATAGTTAATTCATGAACATCGCTTTCACCTCGAAGAGGTTAAAAATATGTTTCTCTAACAACTTAAATTTTTAGATAAAATGGTTATATGTTTAAGAGCACAAGATTAAAAATAATTTTAATTTAGAATCACAAGATTAAATTTTTTTTTTTTTAAATTTTATTTTAAATTAAATTAGATCATTCTTTTTTTTTTACAAATAAAAGTAAACAAAAGTCCACATGCTTAGGGTAGGTGGGGTTTCGTGGTAGTTTCCTAAGAAATAGGACATGCTACTATTTTTTTTTTAAGAAAAGACAAAGTAAAAGTTGTATTAAATTTTTAAAAAGACACTTTAATTTTGTAAATGTTTTATTACCTCACTAAATAATTATGAACTGGTATTATTATATCATCTTTTGATTAGCCCCAAATTTTAAGAAACAAGTTTATTCACACTAATCAATACATGACACGTGTTAATTTAATTAAAAATATATTTTTTTTCATTTTAAGTTTTTCCTTTATCTTTTTTTTTTCACTCTCTTACTTTTTGAATTTTAATTTTGATTTATTTTAAATTTCATTTTATCTTCCATCTTTCTCCATTTTCTTTTTTTTTCTTCACCTCCCACCCCTCATGTCAAATTGAGTCTCACTCCCATTTTTTTTATTTTCTTTTCTTTTTCTTCTTCTTTTTTTATCAAATTTTATTCATAATATTATTTATACTTTACTAAATTTTTGATAATAACATTAATTACTTCTTAAATAATTTAAAATTTTAAAGTGTCATTAATTACTCATTTCCATATAAATCCAAAATTAGAATCTTAATTTTAAAAAAATAAATTAATTTCTGAAAATTGAAAGAACTTAATTGAAATCGGATAAAACAAAAACTATATGATACTCCCTAATCATCTCATTAATTTAGCTCATTTTCATATAATTTGAAAACTAGAAATGATAATTTTGAAATAATCATAATTCTCCAAAATATGAAAAAGTTTAATTAAAATTTGAATTAAAAAAAACTAAATAATACCTATTAATCATCTTGAAATCTAATGTGCTTATCAAATTGTTCGAATGTAATAAATATTTAGATATAGTTTTAAATTAAAGAGATAGTTAAGTTAATAGTAGTAAAAAGGGGAGATAAATTTGTGATAAAAAGTGACATTTAAAGTGAGGATCTTCAATTAAGATGAAAATGATTTTTTAGATTGCAAAATACTTGCAAAAATAAAATTATATTCGTTGTTTTTTATTTGTTCACGTTCTTTAAGGGAGTGCATTCACTATCTATGTCAGGTGGACAATAAATGATGTAATAATATCAGTTCAAAATTATTTAGGAGGGTAATAAAACGCTTGCATAGTTTAAATGTCTTTTTAAAAATTCGGGACAACTTCATATAAAACTTTATTTATTTATTTATTTAAAGGTACAAATTAAGTGAATGATTATAATTAAATTAATAGTGTAATTCAATTCCTTTTCATCTTTTTTTAATCAATCAGCCGAAAATCAAAGAAAAATATACATCTTGTCTTTTTATAATCAATCAGCCAATATATATATATATATATATATATATATATATATATATATACTGACACGCACCTTCTTTTATTAGTTACCTTTTGTTTCAACTACCCACCATTAGTAAAAGTTATTTTCATTATAACTCAATTATTTTTTTACCATGCCTAACATTAAACCCTTGATTTTTTTTCATTTTTGCAGTTTGTACCATAAAATCTTTTATAATAACATGTATATCTTAGCATTATGAGAATATAATTTTTTATTGATGGATATATGTGAGTATAATTGTGTTTATTACTTGATTTTTTTTTCTAATTATTTTTGTGATTAAAAAGTTGATAATAGAGCATTTCTCGAATAAAAAACAATTTAGACTTCTTTATATTATGTCAATATTTAAATAAAGACAATATTTATTACTCTTTATTTTTTTATTTTTATGTGACAATGAGTGATGTACATTTTAACGGTGTATATTTTTAAGTATTTTATTTTGTGGTTTAAGCAAAGAATTAAGAAAATAGATAGTACTCTGTCCGTTCCTTTCGGTATAATAAAAATAATTTTTAGCGACATTTTATATTGACATTAATAGAAAGTGCTAAAGTCTTTATCGACATTAGTTAAGTGTCATTAGAATCAGTATCGCTAAAGGCTTAGGTACATATACAAAGAGTGACAATTGTCGCTAAAAATACATATTTAACGGTAATTTAAAAATTAATTGTCGCTAATAATATTTTTTGTTGTGTTGCTTTTACTTGTCTCCTTTTTTTAAAATAGATTTTTTAATTTCTTGTCCATTTTGACAAATCAAGAAAGTATAAAAGTGACAATTGCCGCTAAAAATACATTTTTAATTTATAATACTTTTCATATAGTTTTAGAATATCTATTTTTTTGGTTTAAACTATCGAATTAATGTGATCTAATTTACTTTAAAAATTAGTCAAATTGACTTTTGATAAGCGCAACATGACAAACATTTCTGGACGGAGAGTATAACCCTTAAATTAAATGACTAATTCCTTTAAAAAATATACAACTTTTCTCCACTTTATAATTAATAGGGGTAAAATAATATACTAATTACGTCATTATTACTTTTTTAATATGCGTGTCAATTCAAAAATGGATAAGTAAAACAAGACGGAGAAAGTAAACAAAGGTCCCAATTCAAGAAGGTTCTAATATTATGTCTGGTTCAATAATTATTTCGACAAATTTTCCATCTCGATGAGCGATGAAAAAATAGTAGTATTATTTTTATACTAAAAATTATTTTTTTTTTAAAAAAAATTAGTAAATATATTTCCTACAATATATTTTTTCGTAATTCAATGAGAAATGAAATAGAAAAATGATGTTATATATTTTTAAAAAATCATTAATATGCTTGTCTTTTTATATGATTTTGAATAATTATTCTCTTTCTTCTGAATTAACTTTTTAGGTTAAGTTATAAGATTTTTTATTTTCTTTTGTATGTTAACAAAGTCAAAGCCGTTAATATTAAATGTTTCATATTGGTTAGTAAAATAAATTGTACAAACAACAAGAAATAGAGGAATAATCGCACAACTTCAAATCTTAGGTAAGAAAAGTAAGGTAAGACTATGACTAATTAACGTATCATAAATTTTTGTGATCTAGCTTTTTTTGACTTCTGCGCAAAGTGAAAACTTTAATACGTCGATTTATCTTTTTTAGATTTATCTTTTAAAAAGATCATATTGATATATATATCATTTTTCAAAAGATTTTCTTGGTTAACAAAATATGATAACATCATTTTCTTGAGGCAACTTAAAAGTAACTTTCTTCTTCAATTTCCCACTTTGTGTTCTATTCATCAACCTTTCTTCTTCTTCTTCTTCTTCTTCATTTTCTTCACCAATAATATTAATCTCCTCAATTCTTCTAGCTCTTTCTGAAAAACTAATTCTTGGAGTACCAAACAAGTCCTTATTCATCATAGCTTCTGGTGATGAAAAGCTAATTCTTGGTGTATAAAAATTGGAATTATTCACTTCATGACATGGTGAAGATACATAAATCCTTTTAGTAGTAACTTTAGGGTTATTTATGTAATTTGGTGAATCCAAAAAACATTGGTGCAAAGATTTTTCTTGATGAAGAAGAGTACTAGAATTATTTTTACTATTTGGTTGATGAATTTCTGAATATTTTTGGTTGAGACAACAAAGATTTGAACCCATGAGACAATTTGCTTCATCCGTTCAGTGTCGTACAGGGAGTAATCGTCTTGTTGCTAATAAATACGAATATGTAATTTCAAAATTAAAGTATCCTACTTTCACGTAATTCACAGGGCACTCAACGAACTATAAAGATAGAATATAAAATAAATAACAAAATTACAAATTGTCATATGGTTGATATTTAGGGTGAGAAATGAGGTGAATTAATTTTGGAGAGGTGTTTATAAAGTTTTTTAAAAGCGGAGGGACCTAAGAGAAGTTTTTGTTTTTATTTTTATTTTTTTCTATGTTGGCTTAGTTATTATCATAGTTTAATTTGGTGTTATCATAAGAAGATAGTGGTTGATATCGTAATTTACTGATCTGATTAATTAATTAATATGTGGATTAAGTAATATGTATCATTTTAATATTTAATTGTGATTATATTACATATTAAA